CAATTCCAGGACAACTTCTCCAAATTGCCAACGACTTCTATCACCTTCCCTTAGAGGTCACAATCCTAAAGGAAGAACACGATGAACAGCCTTATTGCACCACTTTCAGGTACGATTTTTTTCCCTGAGAGAAAGGCTCGCTCGCTAGGTGGGAGAGCGAGGGCGAATGTAAACAAACTCGGTGATATTGACTCGTTTATTTGCCATTTGATATATCAATTCATTTTCATTTTTATATTTTACGCTTAATTCTTTGTTGTTCGTACTTTCTACGACAAATTTGATCACTGTTTTTGATATTATTGATACGTTTTACAACTATATAATTATCATTGTTATTATTATTATCAGCGTCTATCATTCCTCTATACCACCTTATACTAATAATAATTAATAATAATACTAATAAAAAAATAATAAGAAAATTATTATTATTACTTATTAATTATTAATTCATATCAGGAGAGTATTCATCATCGATTTTTATTTATTCACATCTATCTCATTTATATTTCATTATTATTTATTATATTATTATTTATATAGTTATATTTTTTTATATTATATTATATATATTATTCGTCTTATTTTATTGTTAACTATATTCAATTTTGTTATTGCTATTATTTATTACTCATTTTATGGATCAGGTTTATTTTATATATCCTATATTTTATTTAATATATTTATATCTCTAGTTTATATCACTATAATATATATTACCTATTGTCATATGTCTATTTTACTTTTGATTATTTTCTATTATATTATATCTTATCTCTGTTGTATATATATCTTTTTTCCTCTTCTCATCTCTATTTCTATCACTTTCCTATCTCTTTTCTACCTTCCCCCTCTTTCTTCTCTCATCCCTATCTCCTTCTTTCTTCTCTTCCCCCGTTTCTCTATTCCCCCCTGCCTCTCCTTCTTTTTTCTGTCCCTGTCTTCCCTTTTCTTTTTAACTCGTTTTCCTTTTCCTCTCCTTAAATCTCCTCCTCCTTTCTCTCTTTTCTTCGTCCTCTTTCTTCCTTCCTCTTCCTCCCTTTTCTCCATTTTCTCTTTCTCTTTCCCCCCTCCTTTTCTCTTCTCTTCCTTCCTCCTACTCCTTCCTTTTCTCCATTTTTCATTCTCTTCCCGTACTCCTATTCCTCCCTTTCACCTCCTCTTTCCTCCCTCTCCTCCCCCCCCCTCCTCTCCCCCCTCCCCTCCCCCTCCCCCCCACCCCTCCCTCTCCCCCCCCCATCCCCTCCTCCTCTCCCCCCATCCCCATTCCCCCTCCTTCCCCCCACCCCACCCCCCCCATCCCTTCCCCTCCCCATTCCCCATCCCCCCTCCCCTCCCCCCCCATCCCCCCTCTCCTCCCTCTCCTTCCCCCATCCCTCCTCCTCCCCCTCCCCATCCCTCCCCCTCCTCCCTCCTCCCCCATCCCTCCATCCCCCCTACCCCCCTATCCTCCTCCTAACCCCCTCCCCCTCCCATCCCTCCCCATCCCCCCATGTCCTCCCCATCTCCCCCTCCTTCCCCCCCATCCTCCTCCTCACCCCCCCCTCCTCCCCTCATCCCCCCCTCCTCCTTCCCCCCCATCCCCATCCCCATCCCCCCCTTCCCATCCCCCCCCATCTCCCATCCCCCCCTCCTCCTCCTCCTTCTCCTCCTCCTCCTCCCTCCAGGTTGGACTTCCGCAACGACGGTTTCATGCAGGACATGTTGCAGCGACGGGCGGGATTCAACAGGACTTCCCTTCCTAGCTTCACCCTCGGGAAATTGGTGAGTCCGACGGGGCGATGAGTAGATGAGTGAGATGAGTAATAAGTAGATGAGTTGAGTCAGATGAGTCAGATGAGTAATGAGTGAGATGAGTAGATGAGTCAGATGAGTGGTAGTAGATATAGATGAGTCAGATGAGTAGATAAGTTAGATGAGTATGAGTGAGTAGGTAAGTAGAATGAGTAGATGAGTGAGATAGTAATAAGTAGATGAGCTGAGTCAGATGAGTCAGATGAGTTAGATGAGTGAGATGAGTAGATGAGTCAGATGGAGTAGTGTAAGTAGATGGGTAGATGAGTCAGATGAGTTAGATAAGTAGATAGTTGAGTGAGTAGTAAGTAGATGATAGATGAGTGAGAGAGTAATAAGTAGATGAGTTGAGTCAGATGAGTCAGTGATGAGTAGAATGAGTGAGATGAGTAGATGAGTCAGATGAGTAGGTAAGTAGATGAGGTAAGATGAGAGTGAGTAGATAAGTAGATGAGTTGAGTGAGTAGGTAAGTAGATGAGTAGATGAGTGAGATGAGTATTGAGTGAGATGAATAGATGAGTGAGATGAGTAGATGAGTTGAGTGAGTAGATGAGTGAGATGAGTAATGAGTAAATGAGTTTAGTGAGTAAGTAGATGAGTCGGGTGAGTAGGTAAGTAGATGAGTAGATGAGTTGAGTGAGCGTAAGTAATGAGTGAGCTGAGTATGAGTAGATGAGTGAGATGAGTAGATGAGTCAGGTGA